TGCAGCATCATCGAGTAATAACACGAAGAAGATGAAAATTCTATCAGTGTAGATGAAAACTGCGAAATTGAAAACATGCATTACGAAAACGATAACATGGAGTTTGAATGTGTCGAGGTGAATGACCACTGCAATAATGAAGATGAAGCCGATGACGTTGAAATAAATGAAAATAATGATGATGGAAATGATAGCCAAGACAGTAGCAACGGAGAAGAAAGAGATGAAGAAGCTGACATTAATGATGAACTGAAACTTAGACAATGGGCAATACATTCTGGTATACAGCACTGCCATTTAGATTCTCTGTTGAAAATTCTTAAAAGGAAATATGTAAATTTGCCAACTTCATCCAAAACATTTTTGAAGACTACATCATCAGAGTACAAAACAGAGCAATTTAAAACAATCGGTGATAAGATTATCGGAGAATATATTTATTTTGGAATAGCTTCAGGACTTAGAAAATGCGTGAATAAAGACATTCACGATGAGAACGTGTTTTATTTATTAGTAAACTGCGATGGTTTACCTTTATATAAATCCAGCAATAAGCAATTTTGGCCATTACTAGTTAAAATTCATTTTGCTCCAGATATATATAAACCGTTTCCGGTGGCAGTATTTTCAGGAAATGAAAAACCTAATAATTTACAGCAATATTTGTCACCATTTATTGAAGAAATGAATTTACTGTCACGCGAGGGGATCGAAATTGAAGGACGAACTTTTGAAGTAAAAATTATGAGTTTTGTGTGCGATAGACCAGCTCGCTCTTTCATAAAATGTATCAAGGGTCATAATGGGTATTATGCATGTGAGAGATGTACAATACACGGTGAACGATTGCAGAACCGAACGGTGTATTTATCCACAAATTGCGAAGAGCGAAGTGACACATCGTTTCGAAATCAAGATAATATTGAACACCATACGGGTATTTCTCCTTTGTTGTCTTTAGAACCCTCTCTTGATATGGTGAAACAATTCGTACTTGACTTTATGCATCTTGGATGCCTAGGTGTCCTTAAAAAAATGCTCCAAGACTTTTGGCTGGAAGGAAACTTAACAACAAAATTGGGTCAAAATGGTAAACGCCAACTGTCACAGAATTTAATAGAATTGCAATCGCAAATACCTGAAGAATTTCAGAGAACGACCAGATCAGTGCAAGATATTGCAAAATGGAAAGCTACCGAATACCGATTATTTGGATTATACATTGGCCCAATTGTTCTGAAACCAATATTGCAAAAAAAACATTACAAACATTTTCTTTTACTGCATGCTGCTTTTA